ATACTGTATGATTCCACTTATATGACGTACCTAGAGTAGTCTAATTCATAGAATTGTGGTTGCTAAAGGGTTGGGGCAGGTAGCGGATGGAGAGTTAGTGTTTAACAGGTACAGAGTTTTAGTTTGGAAAGATGAAAAAAGTTCTAAAGATGGATGGTGGTGATGGTTATACAACAATGTAATGCCACTGAACTGTACACTTAAAAATGGCTAAAATGGTAAATTTTATGTTATGTCTACTTTATCACAATAATAAGAGGAAAAAAAATGGCAAAAGTCTTTTTCAAACATACAAAAGCTGAAAGAATTCACCACCAGTAGCCTAGCACAACACTTTATGTTAAAGGATATCAGAGGAATAAAGACCACCAGAACTTTGGGCTATAAAATGGTTCCCAATAAATTTGAAAGGACTCAAATCATAAAAAAGTGTATTTTCTGATCAGAAATGGTAACCATGAATGAATAGAAAGGAATTATTTTCCTAATATTTAATCTCTTTTAAAGCTTGTTGCTTTAAAAATAAAAATGAGGGCTGGCCTGTGGCTCACTTGGGAGAGTGTGGTGTTGATAACGCTGAGGCCGCGGGTTCAGATCCCTATACAGGGATGGCTGGTTAGCTCACTTGGGAGAGCGTGGTACTGACAACACCAAGTCACGGGTTAAGATCCCCTTACCAGTCATCTTTATTAAATAGATAAATAAATAAATAATAAAAATAAGAACAAGGCACTGTGGGGTTTTAAACATAGTAGAAAGAAAATGCATGACACCAACAATACAAAGGCAGAAGAGAGAAGGTCCTAACACACATGTGAAGTAATATCATAGTCTACCTTCAAGGGATAAGTTAAAGATGTTTACCAGAAGCCCCAAGGCAAACACGAATGAACGAACAAGAGAATGACAGACAGACAGAGAGGGAAGGAGGGAGGCAGGCAGGCAGAACAAAGAGTTATAGCTAACCAGCCCAAAAAGGGAGATAAAAAGAAATCATAAGAAAACCACTCAACTAATCCACAAGGAGGCAGAAAAAGAGAATGAAGGGAAAGCTAGTATGGCTACTTTCATATTAGACAAAATAGATTTCAGAAAAAAGAATATTACCCAAGATAAAGAGTCTTTTAATAATAATAAAGGGGTCAACTCATCAAGAGGACATAACAGGCCTAAGCATTTATGTACATAATAACATCACTTCAACATACCTAAAACAAAAAAATGATAAAAATGCAAAGAGAAACAGACTAATCCAAAGTTATAGTTGGAGATTTCAATATAACTTCCTCAGTAATTGATAAAATAAGTAGACAGAATCAGTAAAGATACAGAAGAACTGAAAAATATCAGCTTTACCTAATGAGATTTTCCATCCAACCACAGCATGATACACATTCTTCTCAAACACACACAAAACATATACCAAGATAGATCATATCCTGGGCTATACAACAATTCTTAATAAACTTGAAAGGACTCAACTCATATAAAGTATTCTTCACAACAGCCAGAATACAGAATCAACGTTAAGTGTCCCTCAATGGATGAATGGAAAAAGAAAATCTATTTTCACACACACATCCATATACATACAGGTTGAGCATCCCCAATATAAAAATCCGAAATGCTCCAAAATCCAAAACTTTTTGAGAACTGCCATGACACTCAAAGGAAATGCTCATTGCAGCATTTCAGATTGGGGGTTTTCAGATTTGGAACACTCAACCAATCAACAGAAGGGAAATATTCCAAAATCCAAAACATTTCTGGTCCCAAGCATTTTGGATAAGGGATACTCAACCTGTATACATATATATGTGCTGTGCATACACATATATAAATACATATATGAGTAAATATATATATGAACTATTATTCAAACTTAAAAAGGAAGGAAATCCTGTTATCTGCAATCCTGTTATCATCATAATGGATGAGCCTAGAGGACACTATCTTAAGTGAAATAAGCCAGGAAGAGAAAGACAAATACTGAATGATCTCACTTTTTTAGATATGGAATCTAAGAAAGTCGAGCTGACAGAAGCAGAGAGTAAAATGGTGACTGTCAGGGACTGGAGGTTAGGGGAAATGGGGAGCTGTTGGTCAAAAGGTACAAAGTTTCAGTTATGCAGGATAAGTAAATTCTGAAGATCTCATATACAGCACAATGACTATAGTTAATAAAATAGTACTGCATACTTAAAATTTGCTACGAGAGTAGATCTTAAATGTTCTCACCACACTGTTGGTCAAAAGGTACAAAGTTTCAGTTATGCAGGATAAGTAAATTCTGAAGATCTCATACACAGCACAATGACTATAGTTAATAAAATAGTACTGCATACTTAAAATTTGCTACGAGAGTAGATCTTAAATGTTCTCACCACAAAAAAAGTAACTATATGAGGTGATGGATATGTTAGTTAGCTTGGTAGAGGTGATAGCCATTTCACAATGTATATGTGTATCAAAACATCATACCGCATATCTTAAATATATACAATTTTTATTTGTCAGCTGTATCCCAACAAGGCAAGATATTCAACATTAAAAAAAAAAAATCACATGAAGTATATTTTTCTGGCCACTACAGAATTAAATTAGAATTCAATAGCAGAAATATCCTTGCAAAACCCCAATATATTTGGAAACTAACATATTTCCAAATAATTGCTGGGTCAGGGAGAAATTAAAAAGGAGAATGAGAGGGTCAGCCCATGGCTCACTTGGGCGAGTGTGGTGCTGATAACACCAAGGCCACTGGTTTGGAACCCTATATAGGGATGGCCAGTTAGCTCACGTGGGAGAGCATGGTGCTGACAACACCAAGTCAAGGGTTAAGATCCCCTTACCTGTCATCTTTAAAAAAAAAGAGGAGAATTAGAAATTATTTTGAGTTGAATGAAAATTAAAACACAACATATTTAAATTTATGAAAGACAGCTAAATGCACTATTAAAAGGAAATTTATAGACCTAAATACTTAAGTTAGAAAAGACAAAGGGGTCTAGAAAAAAAGAGACAGAGAGACAGAGAGAAAAGACAAAAGGTCTCAAGTCAATGACCTTGTCTTTCACCTTAAGTATAAATAAGAGCAAATTAATCCCAAGGTAACAACACAAAAAGAAATAATGAAGATCAGAATGAAAACCAAAGCAAGAGAAAACAGAAAAACAATATAGAAAATTGATAAAACCAATAGCTGGGGGTTTCTTAGATCAATAAAACTGACAAACAGCTATATTGGTTAGTTAAAAAAGGTAGAAGACACCAATTACCAATACCAAGAATGAGTAATATTAAATCATTGCAGATTCCACAGATATTAAAAGGATATGGGATTGTTAAGAACAGCTTTATGCAAATAAATCTGACAACTTGTGTGAGATGGTTAAATTCCTGAGAAGACAAAAAGCTCACTCAAGAAGAAATAGATAAATGGAATAGGCCTATATCTACTATAGTAATTCAATATGTAATTAAAAATCTCATCATCCAGGAAACTCCAGGTCTACATGGAATACTCTCCAACATATTACATAAAAGCAACATTAGACTGACACCAAAACCAGACAGTAAAAGAAAATTACAAGATAACCTTCAAGAGCAGAAAAGCAAAAATTATTAATAAAATTCTAGCAAATCAAGTATAACAATCTATGAATTTGATAATACATCACAGTCAAATGAGGTTTATCCCAGGAAAGCAAGGTCAGTTTATCATTTAAAAAAAACAATAAATCAAAACAAAACAAACAAAAATCCAACAATACAATTCACCATATTAACAGACTTTTTTTAAAGTGTAATCATTTTGGGCCAGCCCGGTGGCGCACTCGGTAGAGTGCAGCGCTCCCGCCAAGGGTTCGGATCCCATATAGAGACCGGTCCACTCACTGGTTGAGCGCGGTGCGGGCGCAACACCGAGGGTTGCGATCCTGTTGCCAGTCGCGGTACGGGCGCAACACTGAGGGTTGCGATCCCGTTACCGGTCACGAAAAAGACAAAAAGGAAAAAAAAATAAAAAATAAATAAAGTGTAATCATTTCAACAGATGCAGAAAAGGCATCTAACAAAATCCATCATCCGTTCCTAACAAACACTCTTAGCTAACTAAGAGCTAACTCAAACTGAGACTAGATAATATAACCACTTTGGAAAAAAACTTGGCAGTTTCTTATAAAGTTAAACAGCCACCTACCATGTGACCTATCCATTCTACTCAGGTATTTACTCAAAAGAAATAAAAGCATTTGAACATTTATACACAAATATTCAATAGAAGTTTTATTTGTAATGGCCAAAACCTGAAAACAATCCAGATTTCCATTAACATGTGAACATATAAACAAATGTGTAACAATGGAAACTACTCAGCAATAAAAAGGAGTAAACTATTTTTACATGCCACATGTATAAATCTCAAAAGAACTGCACTGTGTGAAAGACAAACCCCCCAAAAAGTATGTTCTGTATAATCTCATTTATATAAAATTCTAGAAAATGTAAACTAAATTTTATAGTGACAGAAAGTCTGAGGAAAGGGGATGGGAGGAGCATGAGAAAGGAGCATGAGAAAACTTTGGGAACACTCATTATTTTGAATGTGTCGATGGTCTCATGGTTATATATGTGGGTCAAAGTTTATAAAAATTGTATGCTTTAATTAAGTGCAATTTATTTTGCCTCAAAAAAGCTCTTGAAAGTGTAAGATAGTGGTGACAGTTGCACAATGTGAATATACTTAATGCCACTGACTATACACTTAAAAATGGCTAAAATGGTCAATTTTATGTTATGTTTATTTCACCACAATAAAAAAAGGGACTTAAAAAAACAGTAAGTTTACTAAACCCAAAACTGAAGCTAAAAGTGACAATGACTACAAATCAGTAAGAACACAAGAAAGGAATCCATACTCATATTCCCAGGCTATCTACTTCTTTGACATATGCTACCATCTGATTAAAGTGCTCTTAAAGCTTTCTACAAGCTGTTACCTGTGAGATATGATTGATGGAAGACTCCATTCTCCGAAGCTGAGAGGCCTGGATGTCCAGCAACTGGAGTACATTGTTGGCCAATGCATTTATTTGATAAGCAACACTAGCTAGAGATTGAGTTGTGTAGGCTTTGGTCTCTTCTAAAGCTTTTCTCTTGTCTGTAGCCTGAAATAAGAACAAAAACAACCAAAACTTAGGTTAACATTCATTAATTATATATTCTATAGAAAGGCAAAGTTATCATCGTATTTTCTTTTTCTTTTTTTTTTTTACTAACCGGCAACGGGATCGCAACCCTCGGTGTTGCGCCCACACCGCGCTCAGCCAGTGAGCGGGAACGGAACTGGTCTCCACATGGGATCCGAACCCTCAGTGGGAGCGCCACTGCGCTCCCAAGCGGCGCACTCTCCAGTACGCCACCGGGCCGGCCCTATCATCGTATTTTTTAATAGAAAATCCCAATTCTATCAAAAAACCTTATTGCACTAATCTGACGATATTCTCAAAACACTGGTTTAAGCCATGGAAGAAATCTCTATCTGCCAGGTAGGAACCACTCCTCTTGAGTACTGCACATACGAAGATCAACTAATGGAGCCATCAGGTAGAGGCACACTGTAACAGTTCGTTCTCCTTGCCTAAACTCTCTCCACCACTAATTCATTGCATTACATCTTTAGGACCTATGGTCAGTCCCAAGCCCCCAACTCACTAATAGTAACATGAACTAAATCCATTCTATCTCATATTCCTATTTCCATTTATCACCATGAGAAATCTAACCTCCTTGTTATCTGTTATGATCAAGCCTCTCATCCTCACAAAAACTACTGTGAATCTTATGTCGCAATCCTTTACCTACCCGTTCATCCTCATCCTCATCCTCACAAAAACTACTGTGAATCTTATGTCGCAATCCTTTACCTACCCGTTCCTTCCCAAACTTCTATACATAATTGAGTTATGTGGTAAGAATTCCTCAAAGAGAAGCAAAGTTAAAAGACATGTGATAAACTGTATGTGGGGAAGAGGAGGAATCAGCAACTTATATCACAGATGGTAAATATCACTAATATATAATCTGAAAATGAAGAAAAAGGCCAAGACTACACAGAAAAAACGGAAGAGATCTAACAGCTCACAAAAAAAACAATGCAACCACTCTTAACCAACTGAAAAGATGTTCAAACCTTGCTCTTTACAGAAAAGAAGTACAAATGCAAACCAATATGAGATAATATTTCTCACCTACGCAAGTAGCAAATACACAAAAGTCTGATAAGGTACTCAGCAAAGCTGCGGGGAAAGACTCTCTGACACACTGCTTAGTGATATCCAGCAAAATTACATATGGATTTACTTCCTAACCCAGTAAGCTCTCTTTCAGGAGTCTATCTCAAAGAATCATTGACAAAAATACAAAAAAAGATTATACACAGTTGTACACTGCAGCACTACTTGTAACAGCAGAACACTGGAAACAACCCATACAACCATCAATAGTGAACTTGTTGAATTAATTATGGTATCTCCACACAATGAGATACTATACTGTTGTAATAAGGAATATTCAAGGAATATCTCTATTACCACTATGCCATGATGTCCAGAATACTGCTAAGGTGATTTTTAAAAAGCAGAAAGTGGGGGAAAAAACACATATAGAATGCTACTATTTGACTAACAATGGGAAAAATATGAAAATATATGCTTATATTTTTAAAAAGTAAGAATAAACCATGACATTTAAAAAATTTATACATGGGAGAAAGAATAAAAATAGGGTGGAAGGAAAATGGACAGAAGATAGAATTCTTTAAACATATCCTGTTCCATAGATTTGTCTTTTGGAATTATGTAAATAATTTAAACTATATATAAAACAAAAATTAAATTTTAGAAAGGCCCAAAATTAAATGTAAATTAATCAAATGAGCCTGTATATCCAATTAGTGACTTAACCAGAGAGAAACTACTATAAAAGTAACTTCAAAGCACAGTAATTTTATATTCTTACTGGGATTTATCCTGAGGACAAAAATAACTGAAAGGAGGGAAATCTTTTCAGTCTCTTTATTGCTGGTAGTAGTACTAAAATTATTGTCCTGAGGTTGTTGTTCAGACAAAGCAAATCATTAGTTATGTTTACGTCACTGTTCTAAGAACAGAGATTTATGACACAGCTCAGAAGAGATTCTGATTTAAGAAGAGCTCCAAGTTAAGAAAAAATCCTGTAGTTCTGAATTTAAACTGAAAGCATCAGTTTGCAGCATTGTAACCACATGCTTTTTGATACACTGTCTGTTCCAAGTGCATCTTGTACATGTCC